AGGATATCATGTCCACGTCTTGTACAGCAATTAACCACTAAGGAGAATGTATGCAATGTGTTAATTATTGAAACTGTCCTACCAATTTGTTTTGAAACTGTCTCATTGCTATTTGTTTCTCAATAAAGTTGTGGAAAAAAATAAAAAATAAAAATGAGTAACTGAGACACACACACAAAAATAGATTTTTTTTAATTTTTAAGAACTTGCTGCTAGTTATATTAGATCCAGTGGATTTTTTTTTTTTGTCTATTTACTTATTTATTTTTAGTCTATGGAAATCCTTAGTAAGAAATATGTGCTATATATATTTCAAAGAAAATAATAACTTTTTTTTCTGAAAGTTTCACTTTAGTTTGGTATGAAATTGTTTACCATATAAAGATGGATCAAGTTTCTATTTTTATTGCATATCATATACCTCAGCATTATAATGCTGTTCTCCTTGTATTTGATTTCATGTACTGCAACCTTGCTTTGCATCTACTGCCCAGTGTTTTGTGAAAATAGTGAGAGTCAAAATGAAGTCACTCGTGTTGAATTCTAATAAAGTGGAGATAAGAAGAAAGGAGTGCACGCTCAGGGCCTGCCATGAAAGCATCGTCAAGGGCTCTCTGAGGACCACGCCTTACCCAGAAGCCATTGCTGCCTCACATGACAAATACTGAACTTCTGTGAGAACATTTGCCAAGCAACTGGCTGTGCAGCTTCAGATGGATACCACTCTTGCGTGTAGCCAAGGAAGATTGTTCCATAGCAACTTAGATAGCTCTGAATTTTGCTTTCCATTTTCTACCCCTGAGCTATGAGATTAGGCCCTGGCAAAAGCTGACTGGGAAGTAGGCAGAACTTGTTAACTACAAGAGCCCAGAGTCATACATAGAACAGTTCCCCAAACCCTGCTCTTGGACTTCTGAGAATTTGAGGTTTTTTTGTTTTGTTGATTTTTATATTTACAGGGTCTACCGGGTCTACAGGGTCTCACTACGTAGATTGGATTCATAGTGATCCTCCGGTTTTCAGCCTCCCAAGCGCTGGGATTACAAG